AAAATAAATATTACATTGAAAATTAAGGAGAAAATGGCTAAATAGGCTGAAAACAGCTGATCGCACGGTCGTGACGTGCGACCCTATCACCGCCTAATCAACTGCCCGGATGGCGATTGTATTGTACACTGATCAAGTCCATTAGGACTTTCCACGCCTTTGACACATTTGACATTTAGCTGAAGTTTTAGAGGCATTCAGAGGCTCTAAAATCATTCAGAGGATTTCGTAATAAGTGGTGTAAAAACATACTGTCCTCATCATTGCGGACCGGTGGGGCGTGTCAGCCAGTAGGAGTGTGCACACTGTTGAAGCCGTTCTCAGCCTTTTTGTTGAAACGCGTATGCGACAAAAAGTGGTAGAAAACGAGTAATACGAAGGATATAATACAGTAATGTCACTTGCCCGCTTCAACTGGTGCAGAACGACTCGATACGCCGCTAACGCACCCGCACTGAGCATGCCGAAAAATCTTCAATTATAATTCACCTTGTAAAAATCTTGTGAAGAGTGAGAGGAACAACTAACCTTAAGAAAAGCAGCCAAAAACAGTGAAAATTGGGAGAAAATGGCTAAATAGGCTGGAAACAGCTGATCGCCGCGGTCGTGACGCGCCGCAGCCGCGTCTGCGACCCTTTGACCGCCTAATCAACTGCCCGGATGACGACTGTACTTGGGTGCAGTTCACGCTCATTTTATAGGCGGAGACACCCAGTCTTTCTGCCGTACTCAATACTGTGTCCCTGCTTTCCAAGCGGTAGGGAGTAGGGCTTTCTAAGCGGTAGGGAGTAGGGACGTGCTAAAGAAAGACAAATGAGTGGGCTTCTCTGCGTACATTTCCGTCTATAGAGTCTGCGAGCAAGGGTTCAACACTTCCTCCTGCCTTCTTAGGCTGGGTCAGTAAAGCTAATCCTCACCACGTCGCTGATCGGTTTCACCCGATTTCGTATTGTTTTCATTCGAAGACTGTCTCCATCGCCTGGTAACACTTGAGTGTTCGTCATAGTGTACATCGTTGTCGCTACGCCCTAGACAAGAAACATAAAATCTACTCCACACTGATCATGTGGGCGGAGTTAGCCTGCTAGTGTGCCTTCCATCTGATGTACCCATTCTCTTTACCGTTTCAGATAGGAGGAAAGCGTTATAATGGGAAGCACAATGGTAACGCCGACTCCGCCCTTACGAATATCGTAGACTGCACCTTCACAAAAAAGGAAAAGATAACAATTCTCGGGAACTCTTAAATGACAATCAATAAAAAGCCGTTGAGTGCTAAACATGGCAGTACCTGCATAACAGCCTTTTTTCCTGTGTTTCGCAGTTTTCGACCGAGGATCGAGACCGTCGTCTTGTGGGATGGGAGACCTTAAACAAAGGAATAATGCTCAGTAGTAGGAATAGTTACAGTCAGTCCCGCTGCAGAAGCTGAGGTATGCCAGGGAGCGGGGCACCAGCTCGTTCTCCACCATTTGGGAAAGGATAACAGTTCATGGGACACGGGAGGGACTTGATGGGACTCCACTGCGCTGATCCCAGCCTCCCCCCCCCTGACACGTCTCAGCGTCTGCAGCGAAAGCGGCTATACTTATATTTGGTTTGCAAACTTTTTTCGAAGGGGATGATAGGGACAGAAAGGTTTGTTCAAAAAAGTTATCCCATTCCGAGACTGAACTCCCGAGTCCCTTCACATAACATGAGTTCAGAGGGCTTATTCTTGATTCGTCTCAGTGGGCGTCAACCAAACACTCAAATTACCTTCCTCATTAGCCGACACTCCAATCTTCTTTACCACGCTTACACCCGTTTTAAACCATGCTTACCATAAAAAGGGGGTGCGTGCCCATTGCAGAGGTGGGGGGGCTGAGAATGGTAGACACGCCCAGACCCACGCCCTTTGCGGTGAAGCGCGAAATGATATTCCTAACTGATCAAAAAAAATAAGTAATGGACGTGTGGGGTGTCACTCCCCGTATAGACAAAGCTAACCCCCGAACCTACAGCGATTTCTGAGGAGCTATGTATGTCCCAGTTTTCGTAGCCACATGCTTTCTTGGTTCCAACCTTTTCACCCGCTCATGAATATCCTCGTCAAATCGGCTCTGCAAAGGCTCGTTTGAAGGGTATACGGGAATTCGAAGAATATCCGCCGATCGCCTCTTCAGCATCTCCTCTTCGATTGCAGGCGTCAACAAAGAGCATTGGAAATCGAAGTAGAAGTACTCTGCAAAGCAGTAATTTACCGGTTATTCTAGACTATGCATAAGCGGATAAAGGTTTCCCTTCAGTTACCTCGCACAAGCCAAGCGCATAGCAATGATGACTTGATCAGAACGATAAATGTTAGCAGTAATCGTACCGGACATCCGAGATAGCGCTCCGATTTCCTGGAAAAGTCACGCGATCTTTGAGTTCTGTGGTCATTGGCAGCTTCTTAGAGAGTAAGCCAAGATGCTTGCTTGACGTGTTGCATATAAACTGAAAAACCTTAAGAGTACCAGTGCCCTTTCATGCGACTCAGACACACTGGGCTTGGGGGGGGGGAGAGAGAGTGGAAGGTTGCACTTTTGCTAGTTCCCTCCTAAGATCATGTCAACTAGCAGGTCCAACTTTGGTGAGACCTGTAAATCCTTATGAAGCTGCAAAATGGGGAAAGTGAGCCACATGGGTGGCAGGAATTTCGCAGGTTTCAACAAGGTCGCCTGTCCAAGCCTGGTTGTGTACTAGAGCATTTGGTGCCCCCACTAAGCCGAAATGCCCCAGTTTTTGGAACTGTTGAACGATCACGTTTCATGAATCACCGAAAAACCGTGCCTCCAAGCATTCAAAGGCACGTTTCGCAGTTGTAAGACGTAGGTAGTGGTACTGAAAAACAAAGGGGAGAAAGGACGAAATGAGCAAGATGTCGAGGAAAGAACATGGGGCATGTCATCGCGCCAGGTGGACCGAACCTTGCGCCTTAACATCCCCAACTTACAGCTTTCTGACGTGAACCTGCTTCGAAGTTTTTCATTGCGGGGTCACGGTACCTTTCCCACACAGACTTTGGCTCTTGCAGGCAATCGCAAAATGTGCCTTTAGGTCTGCAGGAAGTGTAAGAGGCAGAAAAAAACTGCTTATTATTGAACGATGTTAATTGCTGTACACA